AAATCAGACTAAAACAATGTGATGTTACACACCTAAATTGTATAACTCGTTCAGAACACATTTAAGAGACGATGACAAAAGAATTCTTACACTATCTGCCTTAAAATGAACAAATCACATATTGTTGAGAATAAACGGATCACTGCCTCAATGTCTCCGTGCAGGGAGATGAAATCAATGAAATTAGTACCACAATGAGATTAGACTGCATAAGGATAACCTGACCATTAAACACTCGAAACACATCCATTTCATGTTTTTTCCCGACAGTACTGAGATTGGATCTGATTACTTGTATAGCACAAAACAGTTCGACAACTCACAAAAACCACAAATTTCTGCCTAAATATCCGCAATTCGAACTCATTACGGTATACATGTTGTCCAGCAGTAGTGGTACGATGTGCATTATAGTTAGCACCGAATATTCGTGTTCGAATAATTTATTCGAAATATTCGACTATTCGAATATTCGAATAGTCGAATATTTGAGAAAGTCCATTTATTCGATTATTCGAATAGTCGAATAAATGAAAAAGACCTATATTCGAATAATTCGTTCATTCGACGATTTCGAAAAATGACTTATTCGAATATTCGTTCATTCGAGGAGTTTTGAAAAAAGGTTATTCAAATATTCGTTCATTCGAGTAGTTTTAAAAGATAGTTCTTCGAATATTCGAATATTCGAATATTGCATTCAAATATTCGAATAATATTCGAACATTTATTTAAAATTAGTCGAATATTCGATCAAGTTCGGTTATTCAAGTATTCGTTCATTCGATTTTTGGAATGAGCCAATATTCGAATATTCAAATTCGAATAAAATGAAAGACGAAAATCGAATAATATTCGTTCATTCGAAGAATTTTCGAAAATCAAATATTCGATATTCATTCGTTCGAAAAATTTTCGAAAATCAATTACTCAATATTCATTCATTCGAAAAAATTTTAAAAAATGATTATTCGATATTCGTTCATTCGGCGAAAATTTCTGTTCGTTACAACTATAATGTGCATATCAAACTTGTAGAAGCATTACGATCAAATATGATTTATCAGAGGCAAAGGATTTGATTGGGAGTACTAAACGAATAATGATGTATAGGTTCATAACCTTCTTTGTAGTTCTGGTCAATCTAGATTGATCACATGCTGAAGATTCGAAAATATTTGTCTTGTGCATGATAAATAGCTTTATCATGCACTAAGATATAAAATTTATATAATTTTGCTCGGCATCTTGCTCGTAAGACCAAAGCCGCAATGCCACAAAGTCGAGCACAATGGCAAACACAGAAGCTAAGATTAGCAGCAACGAGCTGCTTTCGTTACAGGCTAAAGACTAAAGACTCTTGAACAATTTCAAAACTTTTGTAAGGTAGAAAACAGAAGGAAAAGAAGCAAGAACCGATGAAAAACTTACCATTTGGATACTGCCATACAAGGCGTGAATATGAATAGCAATTATGTGTCATCGCCACCTTTGTTGTCTACTCATATGCGGCATCCAAAGCAATCTATTCATGAAAAGCAGTGCATATGATGGAAAACCAGAATCAAACACGACGAAATCAAAAATATCGATTAGAGCTGGTCGATTAGCTTAGTTCGAATCCTGGCTACAGTTCGACTCGATGTACGTGAACCGCCACCACAGCTCCCCTTAGAGAAAAAAACGAGGTCGGCTGTGCGAAATGGTTCACGACTTCTTTGAATAAATATAAAGTGAAAACGACCAAAAATACAACAGAATACACTGAATGTAAAAAGCAGAAGCGTGACAGTAATTATATATTAGGTGGATCCAATTGTTCTATGCAGAATTTCTTTTTTCAACAGTGATGTTTTTGCTCGGATCCCTCCACTTTCTTTCGAAATCGCCACAACCTCCAACCCATACATTTTAGGTACCCCAAGTTTGGCTATTTTTGGAATTCTCATTTGGGATTTTTGAAAAAGTTTTGTCAACAGCTGGATAGAGTAAACAAAATGCTACAGAATTCAATTTTTTGGCATCGATAGCTGGCTTATCTCTATATTTGTGAAGTCGTAACGCTTCAAACACTATGAGATCTTCCCGAATTGGAACTTGCAAAAATCTATTCAATTAGACCTCATTTTTAACAAACGCCTCAAAACATCGATTTTTGAAATTTTTGGGGGCAGTCTGAAAAGGATTAAAAAACTAAATTGTGGCAATTTTTCCTTGAGGCCTCTACAAATCAAAAAGAAAAATAGCTGTCAAAGAAAAAGAATCTCTATCGGATGACTATAGCTGTCTGATGTTTTACGAGGTTTGGGATGAATAGTCATCAAATTTGGTAGCATCAAAACGATTGTTTTCGAGAATTGAAGGCAGCTATCGATGCCAAAAAATTGTATTGCGTTGCATTTTAGTGCACTCTGTCTAATTGTTATTGAAGCATCCAAAAGTCCGGAGCGAAAATTTAAAAAAAATAGCAAGATTATGGGAGGTAAAAACCATGGCTGAAAGATTCTGATGATTTTTCAAGCGAGCATCAAAGGAATCCGAACAAAAACATCACTGCTTGAAAGAGCAAAAAATTCTGCATAGGACACTTACAGTGTTTGTCTATCTTTATTCTAAAAGATTTGAGGATAGGTCTGAAACGGCACGAACTTTCAGACCCACCCAATATTTCAGGTCTACTGTGTGAAATACGTAGAGCTGACCAAATTGAAGAACATTTTCTGCCACAGGAGTAAGGATTTTTGTCAAAAAAAGGTGCTCTCACCTAAATGAAGCATTTGGTGAGCATGATGCATTGAGAACACGGCTGATCTCACATACAATCATCTTTTCGACTAGAAATGGGTTTTAAACTGTGCAATGCCTAAGAATACGATAAACGCGATAATTGCCGTAAGTGAATAATGGACTTTACGATAGTCACCGCTGAATTGAATGCCACAAATAGGCCGCAAGGAGATCATTTGGGAAAAAACTGAAAGCGATCAAAATAAGACTCTTATGTAATGTGACTGCGCAAATAAAAAGAGTTTTTCACGAAAGAGTTTTTAGAACAACTGAGTTTTTCGGTAAAGTTGAACTCGCTCAAAAACCTAGTCTGTGGTATGGTGAGGTGAAAAAAGAACAACTGGAAACATTCCCAAAATCGCACTCTTTGATCGAGCATTCCGGATTCAAAGCAAACGTTCTAACACTTTTTTCAAGAAAAATACTCAGACAATCTTTTCCTGTTTGAAGCTCCCCGAGAAAAGGCAAAAAATGAATGCACAAGCACTATAAAAACCCCCACACCAGACAACAGAAACAACTAATTGGCATTTACGGCATCATGGATGATTTACGAGTACAAGGTCATTCCCTAATGGAGGGAACCGTGGAAAATCCGGGCTAAATGACTCTCGCAAGCACCGCCTACCTTCGATGGCTGCCGTGTAGATCCTATAAGACAGAAAAGCGAAACAAAAAAAACCGTTGGTCCCCATATGCTCACACCCGATGATCACGCCTACCGCTTGACCCTCTTGTGGGTGGTCGAGCGGCAACAGCGCAAAGGACAAAGTGACACGGTCGCGATGAGGATAGCCGAATGAGAGGAAATGTAAATAGACGCGCCTTACTCTCTGCCAGACAACCAAAAAATCTATGGACAATTAATTGATGTAATTCAAAAAATTGCCAAAAGTATTGTCCTTGAGAATGGCACAGTCGGCATGAAGAGGACCTCGAAAAAGAGTTGCTCTCACACTCAGAAGGATGAAACATGAAAGTGATGCTGCGTATCTCGGTTTAAAGGCACCGTCCACCGAAAATGGAGGTTGGCGAGATTATGATGGCATACTAGTGTGGGCCCCCATACTAGACAAAACCCCAAGTTTCGCCGCAAAAGACTGCTTCTGAAGCGAGAAATCCGCTCCGGAAGTAACAAAAGTGGGCGGGGCGCCCCCGGTCGCCCCGCCCACTTGCATGCTTTATCTCGCCTGCATTTGTTGCAGAGGGTTCTCGAAATAGGGATTTTTGGGGGTTTCGCGAATTTTCGATTCATATTCGGAATCAGGGCTTTCAGAAGGCCTGAAGGCGACAAAGACATTAAATTCGAGTTGGGTGGACCGCCGAAGGCGCCCCGCCCACTTTGTTACTTCCGGAGCGGATTTCTCGCTTCAGAAGAGTCTTTTGCGGCGAAGCTTGGAGGTTTGTCTAGTATGAGGGCCCACACTAGCATGCCATCATAATCTCGCCAACCCCCATTTTGGGTGGACGGTGCCTTTAATAGCTATATACTGCAAAAAAAAAAACTCTGCAAATTGAAAATCCTCCTCTCCCCCCCCCCCCACCCCATTTCATGAACTTGCATATATGGCTGGACTGACCCGATAAACTGATCTCATGCGCTCACCCTGATGCGAAAAATGTTGCGAGCAAACGCAAAAAAAAAAACAACTGTTCACACAGAGTAGACAAAACAAAAAAAGAATGTCTTGCGCGAAAAACACCGCATCAATTTCGAACACCAAACCATTTTGGAGTTCCGCAACAAAATTAAGCATTTTGGTTTCGGGAAGACAAAATACGACAACTATGGGAGGTAGAAAGAAGAACCTGCGTTGTTATACGACTTGATGTGTCTCAGAACATTCAAACGCTCTTGAGTAAACAGAGATGATAACTAGAAGAGAAACCCAATATAAATATCGTCATCAGGATAAAGTGTACCGGTTTTCAAAACCTAGATTCAGAGGGATTGTCCAATTTTACCAGCTGCTGGCAAAATTGAGCATTTCGAAGATTGCGAGACATTTGAAGAGGCAAAATTTCACACTGCGGTGACAACAGTTCTCGAGAACAAAGAGAACACCTCGAATTCAACTCTAAAAACTCTGCGCACGTGACAGTCCTATTTTCACAGATGTCTAAACAGAAAATTCAAAAAGGTCCATCCAAGAGTGGAAGGCTGCTGCAAATCCTACGCTATCCTATAAACTTGAATACTATAATCCACCCACCATCAACTACATCATTCCTTCCTTTGTGTTCGCTTTTTGCGCGTGCTGCAGCCAATAGCCAATCCATTGTCAGACTTAACAAGCCTTCTGCTTTCGGACTTTTTTCTCCGACCCATGGTATATATGCAGGATTGACTAGAATTTCAGGTATTGTAGATGTCAAGAATCACAGACAAGTGCGACACCCACCAGCTAACGTATGCGCTACAAAATGCACTGCTAGTGGTCTCGACGAGCTTTCCGTCGATCCGACTGACTGCTTTGCGTCGATTCCTCGAAACTGACTGACACTTTCTCCAAGTTTTGACACCGTCGGTGATGCCTGTCATGATAATTAGAGACACTTCGCACACGAATATCTTCATGCAACCACGACAGCAGCCCGATTTGATCCATTCAAAATGAGGCTTATGGTTACGAGCAAATTACGCAAAAAATATGTTGCTATGCTATACGTGGTTAAAAAGATCAACTTATGAAAGATGCTCTAATCATGCGTAATAGATCCAATATTTTTACTCATATTTGTTTCATTTCACTTCATAAGTAATCATGGTATTTTCATACGAACTCGAGCCAAAGCTGAAGTGATACCTGATCGATTTGACGACTCGCTCCTGTTGCACTGAGATGTTGAGAAGCGCTTACGTTGGTTCCACTAACTTCTTCCAAGTGTTGTCCACGATCTAAAAAGATGCCTTACAAAATTTTCATTCAAGATTTTGTCGGAATACCAAGTACTATGAAAAGAATGTGACGGTCAAGTCAATCACGCCACCTCCTACATTTAGCAGAATTGCTAACAACAGTGAATCTGTTCAGACTGAAGATCTACCCACGACTCAAACATGTACCCAGATAAACTGTGCCATTGTAAAAAAACTTCGTTGTGCAATATTAGGTTTGTAAAAAAGCTACGGATCAAGTACAGTACATCAGTTCATATTTACCACGTTGTTCTCTACATAAACAGAATTTTTTCAATCATAGCCATACACCCAACATTATGATATTTGCCGTCAATGTGTACCCATCACAGGCTCGATTTTCTTGTTAACAAGGGAAGGATGGCTAATCGGAGTGGCCTTTTAAGATAGGTTGTACATCGTGGTCGAGGGCATAAAACGCTGATTATAAATCTGTCTTCATCTGCAGCGCGTTCCTGGACGAGGAGTTATAAGCGTTTAAAGGAGCAAAAAAAATGAGCGTTTTTTTTCAATAAAACTGTTTTTAAAATATTCCCAGCGCTTGAATGAGACAGCCGGAGTGCAGATATATCTCACCTAAGAGTATTTATTTTATAGAGTGCTGGAAAGAATACCACTGTTCCATTTAAGCGCTAGGAATAATGTTACTACTGTTTTATATTGTTTGCACATTCAATTTTTTTCCAGTAAACGCTCATTAACTTCTCATGCAGGAACGCGCCGCAGATAAGGAAAACAGATTTGGAATCATCGTTTCATGCCCTCCGAAATGGTATACAAATCATCGCAAAAAGCCACTTCGACTGACCGTCCTTCCCTTGTAAGAAAGATGGGCCTAGAAAAATTTTACGTAGTTCGACACAAAACTCCTTTGTGCATAATCTCAATCGAACCACAGAAGAACAGCAAGTTAAAAATGAACTAGCGAAACGAAAAAGACGTGTGAAACGTGTAAAAGTAGTGTTATAGTTGAAACATTGAATAATTTCGCCAATAGCACTTCCTCACCTCCACAACTAGATTTATGATGAAAGCAGGAATACAAACTGCATCCCAACTACGAAGCGACCGGAGCTGACAGATTTCTACGTAAAGAGCGAAAAGCAATTTTGCTGCCTACCCGAATGTCTTGTTTTCGTTCTTTTCACTACATCTGACATACTTCTGCCCTCTTTTCCACTTGTAGAAGATGAAAACGAGGCTCGCTGGTCGGCGTGAGTCAGCGTTCCATCTGTGGATTCCATTACCGTCAAGGTTCTTTCGTGCTAGATTATTGTAGATGTTATCATTGATTAGAATATGTACTGAAGAAACAAGTGAACATCTTGACTCACTCCAAAGTCGCTTCTGCGGGGCTCTACAGAAGTGAGCGATGGTTGCGGGGTAGGAGCATTCATATTCCATTTCCTTATCAATATGTCCGACTCTTTGAACTCAATTGATACATGCCCATCTCCTAAAAGAGCAGATGTGAAAAAATAGCAAGCATGGTATTTGAGTGGCAAAACTGGCCATAAAAGACGTCAATCATTCTTTGCAATGCTGTTGTCGCTAAGAAGAAGCATAGAGGGAGCGAGGATGGTGGTGGGATGTCTACATTATTTTCCTCAGCTTGCGAGACACCTCCATCTACAAGGGAAGACGTACACATAGTATAAGGAAGATGCATGCAAAAAACTTACTTATCGGCTTATTGTGAGCTGGATCGTGGGCTAGAATATCTGCTGGCGAATCCATGAGCGAGTAGAAATTGCGCCTGAAATAGGTGCTCTTGTACCCAAAAAACAAAACTTTGCACTCGGTTTCTGATATGAAACAAAGGAAAGTTAAGAGATTACATTGGAGAATAACGCTGACAATGTCAAAAATCAAACACATCCGCCACAGTCCAACTATTCACAAATCCTTTTATGACTTACCAGCTTTGATACAACAGATCGTCTTCATCTTCGGCAGGAGGCAGGTAAGCAAATGGTGTGATGCTTTCGTCATCTAAACAATTGAAAGTTTGCTTACGGCACAGTTCTTGTATCATGGCAAAATTCAAAGAAAAAGCAAAGACATGACTCACGTATAGGGATCTTACAATAGTCCTCGCCGTACATGTATCGACAAACCAGTACGGTTAACGCTAACAGCTTTCGGGCCCATGACTCAACTACTGTTACCTGAATGATGTTCAATCAGGCGTGCGATAGATGAATCATGAGCGATTAGGTTGCACGAAGCCTTAATCTCCTCGGAAAATATCAGTCGTATTACATACAAAAAATGCGTATCCCAGTGCAGTGGTGTACCCAGGATTCCCGTTCGGGAGCGGGGGGGGGGGGGAGGGACTAAAAGCTTTTCCTGATGAAGATAAAGGTGCATGGCGTAAACCAAGCACTCCGAAAGAATTTTTGGTACGCTTTCCAAAATTTTCGCGGGCCCATAACTCCGAAATCCCAGGAAAATGGGGCGTGGCTGCCCACGCCCCCGAAGAAATATTTTTTATAAGGCTAAAGTGAATTTCTAAAAAATTACTCCAATTATCCACAAGTATGAAACTTTCAAAAATTTCGCGACCCACGAGATAGTGATTCGAAACTTCTATAAAAGACCTGAAAGGAATTGAAAATGGAGCTGTCGGATAAAAAGGTTCCTCAAAGGAGCATAACTCCCCTGATTTGATATAGGACTCACGTGATGTCTCCATCGGCGACAAAGAGCTGCGAGTGTTCGCCAGTATGTTGGCGAAGGTATTTCCTCATTTAACACAGCATGAAACCATAAATCAAAAAGAGTATCTACTACTCGAGAGCCTACTCGCATACCCATCTCCTCTGAAGTGAATGAGATGAAAAGAGATCTAGGATGAAGGACAAAAACTTGCACAAACCAGGAGAAAGAGGATCTGCTAGTAACAAATCAGCCGAATTCAGAAGGAAGCTGAGAGTTCGAGCCCATACCTAAACATGTAAACCTTGGCTTACAACATGACGTATTTATACATATACAGTTACATACCGCCTTACTCAATGATAAGGTATAACAAACTCTGTCGAACTAACTTCATTTTGGTATTTTCGACTCGCTGAGTGTGTCAACGCCCTGACAGCATCCAATACAGTCTCCACTTCACGAGCTTGTCGTTCAATAGCCAACCCTCGAGGAACCTCAAGTGTTATTCGTAACACACCCATATGTCAATATTTCCCATGAATTTTATGATGAACATGACCATTGAGCTCTATAGTAAAGATTAGCTACGAACTTCGGTGGTAGAAAAAATAGTCTTTGATGTTTAATGCTACTCAACCTAAGCAAGCTAGCTATCATGCAAGAGTACCATGAAAAAGACGTATACAAAAAAGTGCCCATCGCATAAACAAAAAGAGAGCTTCTACAACCACATATTACCCCTCAACCGTGAGCGGTGCAGCAAATGAAACACATAAGAAAAGAAAGAACAAGAATAATCTGATAGACATACCTCTCCCTTCACTTCACTCCGACGGCAGAATAAGTTTCGTAGTGCATCAATAATGTTCCTCAAATAACGTATAATTGATCGTGTAGTTCGAAACAGATGCATTTTGGGATATGAATGAGCATAGTCTCATGCGGGACGCAGGTTACAGACAAACAAACGGCTGGCACGGATGGATCATAGCAAATGAGAGGACAGTTCAATATTCTGGTCTAGATATATGTCTCTAACGCAACTGTACACAGACAGTCACTGCAATTGCAAACATTGCCATCCCAGTTTACAGCAAGCTCTCGAGATGTGTCTAGGACCCCGTGAGACTTCACTCAAAAATGCCTAAAGGCGCTCAAAAGCACCCAAAAGGCACCCAAATTTCTCTAATGTCTTTTCACTTTCTCTTGTGAGGAGAGATGAGAGAAGAAGAGACATACAGAAAATTTGCCTTTTGGAAGCTTCTGAGCGAAGTCTGGCCTGGGCCAAAGATAAAAAGTAGGACAGCGAGCTCATTTTTTGCATTATGGAGCATGCAGAATTTGAGGACTATAGCAAGCAACAAGAAAAACGGATGGTGACAAAACAAAAACAGATGATGCTAGAATGACTCATAGGTTTATTACCTAAAATATTTCTCTGGTGTGTCCAATAGCGGCCTCGGTATATTTCCATCCGGAATGTCCGAAAGAGCTTGCAACCAGTGCAAGTAGATCCGCACAGCACCACGAATTGTCTCATATTCTCGATGAGTGTAGAACGAGAGCGTCAAGGAATGATTCAAGACCTAAATCTATTCGCTTGAATGAACTTGGCATATGATAAGGTCGGTACGAAACTGCACGAGTTTGCTAAGAGAATAGTATTGTCTGTCTAGAGTTAAGCAGCTTGTTGAAGGTCCAAAAAGCATATAATCTTCAAGTAAGCTGAAGTGAAAAAAAAAACTGAGAAGCGTGTCATCAATGACAGCACGTATATTGCTTGATATTCCGAGAAAAAGTGAGAACAATTTCATCAATTAATCTATCACCCAACAAATGAAGAAAACTTCACAACAAATGTCAGAGAGATTCACTCGAACACTCACTTGCATACACCACCTCAGCTGATCATCTGTGACAAGCCTAATGGAGACTTGATCGCCTTCTTCGCTATCGGATCGAGTCAGTTCATATAACAGCGACGCCGAGACGGATTCACTGGTAGTCCTGAAAATGTAGACATGGTCACGAGAGAAAAATGCACCTATTAAAGGATGAGAAGGAGCAGAGATTAACGACGGCACATTTCAACTTGTACAGTATCACAATGTAAGAATCTAACAGCTCTACTAAACAAAGATTCGATTCAAACAATCATCCTTCAAGATTAGAGCGACACTTTTGCGGTACATACTTTTGGCGTCTAACCCTAAACCGTTAACAACCAAGCCGTAAAACTCACTATCTCGATCTCACAAATATTGCTTCAAACGATGTCATAAACGCAACACTCAAACGCGTATGTCTTGCTATTTTTATTTTTATGCGTTTGTAAAATGCAATCAATGTTGTGCGGACAGCTAGTTTTGGACAATCAATCATAGTGCATGTTTCATTGTACGCTATGGCGCGATTCCAACTATAACATGAACTTTATGTAAAAGGACATGGACGAAGTGCTTTCTAAAAACATGCGTTTTACAGGCATGAGAGGTTCAAAATGTTGCGAATAGCTTAGTTGCAAGATTTTTTTATTAGGTTTTAGTGCAATTTAACTATTACGTGACAGTTGTCACTTGTCCGTTGCAGCAGATTTGCGAATGTGGTGCAACGTTAGTATAGGGTAAATAAAAAGTACATAGAAACGAGTTCAATTGGACGAGATCTTTGCATGCAATAAATCTGTATTAATACAGCACATTATGCGACTGTATAATAATATGCTATTAATCCGCTAAATTTCGGCCATACTGGTACAACCGAACCGACTAAAGCAAATTTCTGCGACAATCAATCGATTTGGAAGAAGAAATGAGGAAAATGTGAGAATAAATATAAATAAAGGCGAAAACAAAAAACTCACTTGGTGAACAAGTCAAGAATGGACTTAGTGAGGTCGGGAAATTCAAGCGTTGGCCAATCCTCGTACATGGCCGCCGGTTCTTCTTCCGGAACGGGTGGTGCTCGTCGTCGACGGTCAGCTCCGCTAGTCGACTTCTCGCTGCCGCTGCTGCTGCCGCCGCCGATCGGCTCGAGCGCTTCCTTCAATATAGACACCAATTGCTCCATCACGTCAGACATCGACACAACAATGACGACGTTGGGATGGGGGGGGGGGGAGCACAGTCAGATGCCCGGCAAGCGGATTCAGAGAATACGAAATTAGGCAGTGGTGAATTGATTGCTTTGCTTACGAATAGGCGTAGTAGAAATTCTGGCTATAGTACGTTCACGAATAATCAGTAATTAGCATAGATTACGACTAGTGCGCGATCGCGGGGTAAAGTGGAAAGAATTCGGGTAACCTTCGCCGCCGATGGGCTGCGCACAGATGTCCCGCTGTGAGTCTCTTGCTTTCAAGGCAGGACAGAGTCCATTCGATCAGCAATCAACACCGAATGATACGAGGTCCGGGAGATTCCTGCGCTTTCATCAGCTAAATTCGCCGATTGATCAAACATCACAATTTATAAGGTGGGTTATTTAAAATCACAGCAGTGACCTAAGACAGATCCAACAGTTTCTGTAAAAGTCAATACATAGACTTCCGAAACATTCCTCAGCACTTCGCTTTAGCAAAAACTCCTACCCTAATCTATCATCTCCTACCAAAATGTTTGAAGGAACTGACACTTTCTCGTGAGAGAGATACGAGTTCAAAAACAGCTTTACAGCTCTGCACTTGCTTAGCACTATTTCTCCTCCGCTGATTAGCTAGCAGACAGTTTCCATATGTTTCATGGATTAACTACTTTGAAAAAAGAGGTAGGGATTTTGTGAATGCTCGATCAACGAATCTAATGCTCTGTTGAGAGCTTACTTTATATATATGATACAAAAGTTCAAGTTTACTAGATTGTACTCTTCGCGAGTTATACAAACCCTATAGGCTCAAATTCTGCTCGAACCGGATTTGAGAAAGAAACTCCTAAAAACAGTACAGAGGGGAAATGTGATATATCTAGAATTAAAATTTAAGCAACGCCATGGAACAAGTAATATTTTTCCCTAAATAACAGTAGGTAAAGAAGCCTAAAAATTGTAAAAAAATGTAGTGTGACGCATATCGCAAAGGACTATCGAATCTACGCTCAATTTAATCAGCCAACATCGCTACTATTTGACCTCTAAAGCGATGAAAACAATGGCTGATTCATTAAAATCCTTATCAATAAGATCAAAACGAATGAAAATGAGTCTATGAAAGTACGTTATTGATTTTCGATGAAGAAGAAAGTTGCGTGGAGGAATTTTAACCGCCTTACACAGCAGTGCAAGAGTAGCCACTCGCGACTATGCAAATAAAAAACGGCAAACGCGCCGTCCAGTCGCAATTGCGGACATCTTGAGTTCAAAATTTGTCAACTTCGTTTTTTTGCAAGGGCACCTGCACTTTGGAGCATTTTCAACCCTTGCAGAGAAATATAATGACATGTGGGTTGAACAACTAATGATTTTGCAGTGATGGAGTCTGCAACCCAATGAATTGCGGATTTTTGCGTTCACAAACGAGATCACCGAGTTAGGCTGCGCTCGCTTTTTCTGACGAGCAAGTCTGCTAAAATCGAGTCGTCTTGAAAAACGTAGGATTATCTGCCCGCGTGGGAAAGCGAACTGGCACTCACGTACCTCTTTGCAACCTATGCTGGCTTATCAATGCACATAATCTTCCATCGCCGAGGAGATAGAATAAGATAAACAGCAAAATTTCGATAAGTCTAAGCTAGATAGAAGCTGTACCGCGACAGCTATCGTGCACTCAGCGATTGCTGCTGCACTCCGCGATTGCTGCTGCATTGCTCTGCGTCTCTGACCCGCAGCACGTTGTTGCATGTTGGGAACATGCAACAACGTGTTGGCAATAGGGAGCAACATGTCGTAAAGGCCAGCAGCCGGAATGTTCTGGCAGCATGCTCTTGCATGTTCCCAACAAGATGTTGCATGTTGCCAACGTGCTAGTCACGCCTGCCGCATAAGTTTCAACTCAATTTAGGCGGAAATTGGACTGGCAGGAGTCCGCTTCGCAACGATTCGCGCCGCTTTGCAGTCTGCGTCTCTTCATTCTAATCTATCTCGCTGAGCCAGTGGCGGTGGGACGCTCTGCTCCACTTGCAATGTTTCGCCTACTCCTGGTTGAAAAAGACTGTAAGAGACTAAGGATTGGACGAGACTGCATTGTGTACTCGGCGTACGCCTCTTACGCAGCGTACGCCCCATATCTTAAAGGCAGTGTCCCGGCAGATTCGCGCTCTGGAGGATAATGCTACGTTGGGATTCTTGGTCATCCCATTGTCCTCCAGTCGCAGTCCGGCTGGTTGGTGTTCCCTCTGGGCCGAGAAAATAGCCCTTGAACCGGCGCGCGCTCGGATGACTTCGCTTACCATTCGACGCAGACCCACGACCGCTCTCCTTCTCTATGCACGCTATCTAAAGCAGAAATTACAGGCAACAGGATCTTCGTCCCAGGACCTCCCAACTTTCCATTGAGATTCTCGTCTGACCTACCTTTTGGAAATTGGTTAAACGCCCCGAAAAAGGTCTTTTCAAGCGTTTCGAACCTCATCGGGGTCTACTGGTATATGCTTTGGAATATTCAAAATTTTGAATAATCAAATAATCGAATATATTCGAAAATCAAAAATATCGAATAATCGAATTTCGGGTATTTTCAAAATTAAAAAATTTCAAATATCCGAATATCGAATTTTTCCGAAAATCAAAAATGCCGAACAATCGAATATCGAATATTTTCGAAGCAAGAAAATTGTCGAATAATCGAATATTGAATATTTTCGAAAAGGAAAAATTTTGAATAATCGATTACATTCGAGAAAAATGTCATATATTGAAACGAATCTTGGTGAATTAGCACAATGAAGGACTCCATGTAGTGGCACTTGAACAACGGACGATATTTGCTGATATAGCGATCAAAAAGATGACGCTATCACGCAGTAATTCGATTACATGAAAATGTCGAATAATCGAATAACTATTAAGAGTGAATATTCGAATGTTCGAATATATTCAATCAAAATTTTCGAATGACCGAATAATCGAATAAATTCGAAATTGACAAATTTCGACTCAGCGAGCATCGTATATATTCGAGGTTTTGAAATTTTCGAATAGTCGAATTTCGAATAAATTTTATTCGAATATATTCGAATACTCGATTATTTATTCGATTCTGTCCAAAGTATAGTGCGCAGCGTATGTCGCGCACGCCACGCAGTATGGCTCAAACCTCAGAGCAGGGGTGGCAGCGATCGTGGACAACACCGTATCGATTTGTTTTGCTAGTGTGTCGATGCACACTTTCCACGATGTTGGCTGGGACGCAGTTCTGCTTAGTCTAGTAGATCTGCTCAACATAGTGTGCTTGCGGTGCCGAAGTTTGCTGTAAACTCTGCGCATGAACAAATAGCACGCCTGTAAGGCAGGCCACTTGTGCGCGCAGATTGCCGGCATTTCATTGATAAACAGCTATCGTCGATTCGGTGACCACACACGCTAAAACGCTGCGGACCACGCGCGACGCGGCTTAAATGTTGCGGGAACACTATTTGAACAATGGCGAATTTGTACTGGGGCAAGCGTCTTACCTCGCTGCGCGTGCTTCGCAGTGATGTCCAGTTCGTGCGGTCAACGAATCGACTATATTTGTTCAGGCGCAAGTTCCTCTGCAAAGTTTTGGCACCGCAAGCACACTGTATTAAGCGGAAACTTTACTGAATTGTAGGTATAGGCGCACGCACGGACTGGACGTCGTTGCGTCCGACTGAGATAGTTCGTGTATGGGAGAGACAGCAGACGGCAAGAGGAATGAGAGGGCAGTCGATGCGCGAGACGCCGACAGCGTCCGTAGTGACGCTCAGTCTTTGCGTGCGATGAACTGACTATACATGAGAACTGCATGACATGTAATCAACCAAGCTTGTTCTAACGAAATTAAGCCTAAACAATAGAGAAAACCAAAAAAACAAAAAAAAACGACTCTACCTCTTGTGTGGCCAACCCATCCGAAAATTGTGTAAACGGTCCTTCATGTCTGCTAGAAAATCCATTCGAGTGTATATGTAGTGTCTGAATTTAAGCATAGTTCATTTATAAGATTGTGACGATGGATTTTATTGCGGACTTTGCGCCCATAGAAGCATACAACGCTCATACAAGAAGGCATCACCTTAATGTTCAGCTCCACTTCCAGTGTTTAGATATTGTCATACTAAGCAATCTTTGTGCAGCGCGTCATGCGCCCTGATGCTATCTAATACGATCGCACGTGCGAGCTTAGGCTTGGGGCATTCGTCCGCCACTAGACTTTACACATATTATTCTAAAAAGCTTGACTGTACTTTTCAAGTTTCTGGCCCAACGTTACTCAGCGGCTTGAGCACTGAGCCCATCTATTAGGTTGCTGCATAAGTTCTGTCCGATTTGAATTTTTTGAGTTCAAAATGTCATAACTTCTTTCAGTGCCAACTTTTTTCCAAGATCTTAGTTCCCATGTGTTGAGCAGTTCATTGGCTATTGAGACCTGCGAAAATCCATGTTAGGGAAGAAGCAAGTACTCAAAAACGTCACAGCGTTTTTCTTCAAACCTGTCTTTTTTGACATGGCAGTGCTCCCTTATGAGAATTGATAGGCACCTTATCCAACAATGAATAGATAGAGGAATTTTCGTGGATTATTTGCAACATGAAAGAGCCCATAGAATTTGCGTTGCCAAGACATTTTCTTGACCGAGCAAAAAAGAAGCCACTTTTTGACCTCGCTTCAGCACATGTGTGCATGCATTTACGAATCATGAAAATTCTACAGTGATGTAAGCGCCAAAAAGGAATATGTGGATGGACCCTGTTAGCTGCTGCTCCACCCTAGCATCTCCTACTTTAAACTCATCGATTACTTCTTTTCGCAGGAAGTTATTGCTTGTAAAACCTCTATACAAAAATTTATGTTTGGCAATGAATTTTAGTAGCAAGACGTTACCTTCATAGAACCGAGCTTCTGCATAAGCTAGCCTACTACACTCTTATTCCGCAACTAGTGAAAGAACTTGACTTTAAGGACGCATTGCGGAGATTTTCTGGCAAGAACATATTTCTAGTGGGAGAATGTACCTCGGCTACTTGGAAATTTTAGGCCTGAAATCTCCTTCCAATAAGAAAATTACTGAAATTTGAAATGCATTAGAAAGAGCAAGAAAAGCACTTTCTAACGATATTAACAATACCGCATTAGAGATGAAATTCTCTTAGAACAGCTGCTTCAAACTTAAGGCAAAAAAATCGGACAGAACTTATGCAGCACCCTAATAAAACGATTGCATCACAATCATTCTTGATATCATCCCAAAACCAAATCATCCCAACGAAGTGTGAAGATGTGCCAAAGCACAGTTCATAATGTTAGGAAGGAGGCTGCTGGTGAACAGAAACTGTCATCAAGGGGCTAACTAATGTGCAATGGTGCAGCTGCACCAGTCCTAAAAATTGACGGGAAAGTATAGTCTTTATCCGTGGTTCCTCATAAGAAGCCACAAACTTATCGCAAGAGTATGAATGTTGCGATGTGTCTGCCAAAATCTGACATTGCTCTGGTACTAAAATCAGCTTTTTTACATATCGACTTCCAGGACTGGATGCGGGAACACCTTGGGATGTGTGAAGCTGTTAATGGGAAATGTAGAGGCAGACAGTGTAAGCGCTCCCTGTAAGGTTTTCTCCACTCAGCCCTAACTATCGAAATAGACGGTGTGAATGTCTGCATCATTGGGGACTATACAACTCTTGATTCACTTACCGATGATTCACTTGTTTCATATATGCTACTGCTGCGGCTTGATTTTTCAAGTATGGTACCGAGGCGCCTCTCCTCTCCAGAGACAAGTGCTGACGATTTCATTTTCTACGGCAACAATCGTGCTACGAAAATTCCTTCACATGAGGCTTGTTGTGCTAATCTATGGGACCTAAATAGTTCATCATTGCTAAACTCCACAGTTTTCGTACAATCATTGACCCACCTATCTGAACTAGCGTAACTCACAAAGTGAAAGGGATAGAGCCTAGTGAGAGTTAGTGAGAAGCCAATATTGGCGTTATCAGTATAAGAAGAAGCTTCTCGAATTAGTGACGCGACGAGGAAATGTCATTGAAAAGAAAAGGCAGCAGTTCATGTAAGCTTTTCGAACTCGGACAAGGTCTATAAGATCAACTTTTTTAGAAACATTACCAGCAAATGTCATGAGAAATCCCATCTGTAGTGGAATAACCAAAGTTCCATTGAAGTGAAGAATTATTACTGGAAGTTGTGTAAAATTTGCTCGAGCTTTCTCAACGTATGGGGTGTTCATAACACGCAAAGACTGGACGCCTTGCATCCGACCAACATAGCTCGTATAGGGAGAGACAGCAGATGGTAAGAGAGACGAAAAAACGCTTAATCAGAGAGACGCAGATATGTCCGCAGTGCTTGCGTGCGATGAATCGCCTATACAAGGTTTCAGTTCTATGATTTCTCTCATATTACAAATGCTTGTATATTTTTTTCGTGTTTTCAAACGGATAAATAAATTTAGCGCTTGTTATGTTATTTGGTATGGAAAGTAATTATTGATTTAGAGAAAAGCCCTTATATGGTTCACTTCAAAGTGTTGCCGATAAGAGGCTCAAGTGAGCTTTGTCATTGATAATAGCGATGATTAAGAGGATCAAAGGAAGAGAACATGATTGTGTTCTTCCTGACAAATCAAAAACACCAAAATGTGGTCGAACTTTGTATCATTCATCTAAAATCACAGCTAGATGTTAAAGAATCAAGCATGTAGATTACGATCCCTACAGATCAGCCCCAAGAGGCCTTTGAGGGGAGATTTTCGAGAAGTTTAATGTTATGTTTTTTGAATAATCAGTAGTAGACATTGGCGGTGCAGTAACTGAAGAATGACCCATAAATGTTACTGCAAGTAGTCAGATGGTAAAAAGCGTAACTCAGAATCGCATTATAAACTAGAATTACATCAAGTCATTCCCAAACTTTCTTGAGTTTCGTATTTCCTCTTGCTACATTTTTTGAAATGGAAAAACCAGGTAGTGTCATATACTGAGTTGTCCTAAAAGTTCTATCCCTTTCTGAGCTGCTGATTTTGGAGGAAAATAACTTAATTCATGAATACTGCTTTCATCATATGAAGCCTTTTTTCTTCTAGTCTTTCATACATATTTTCGTATTCATAGAGCTCACTTCATTCCGTGAATCTGTACGTTGAAAGGACAGCAAAACAAATTCGAAAATTTCATATTTTGCTCTATGGCCGTAAATTTCACAGCCAAAATAGGAAATTCCTTTGAAACATATGCAGTGTTTGCTGGAGACTTGTGTAACGAAATGTTTGAAGATATGATTCGAAAATTTTTTTGAACATATAATTTTTTTAGCTCACACGTGACCTTTCTTTGTTTTTCTCATAAGTTGAATAAAAATACTAAGCACACGAAATCACGGAACGTTCGCTCCACAAGATGAAATGAGACCTAAAACATTTATCGGTAGAAGAACGAACACTTTTTTCTCATTTGTCAGCAGCCAGCAAGATCAAAAATTCCGAAAAGAGCATTTTTGATCATCTCAGATATGGCAAAAAACCAGGGTCCTTTCGAATTTTTCTGCAAAACATTTTCACAAAACTTACTACGCAATGAGCAGTGCCTGTCCAGTTCTATTACATTCCAAGAAAGTTATGGTTTTTAAAATAAAGGTTTTTTAAAGAAGATATTTGGTGGCCTGCCAGAATTTCTACTCGTTATCGCTACAATATTTTTGATATGCACAGAATTGTTGAAGATTTTAAATTAAAAGCACTCGATTGCAATTGCAAAGAATTATTTTGAAAGAATTTATTGTGAATCAAACTTGAAACTTAAACTTCGAATACGGGTACAACTTTTAAAAACAACCCATTATATGAAAAAGGAAGGCTTATGCGGTGTGCAAATGTCCCTCGCAAATAAATTTTGCGCGAAGATTTTTGAAAATTACCCCAGAGCAAATTGAACTTTGACCTATCCTCTGATTCCGAATTTGAATGATATGAATCTCAAAAAAAGCAAGAATGTCATAAGCACGTTTTGCAATTTTCTCAATTTTGATATCTAAGTCTCTTCCTAGCATCTGTTTTGCACGGTTAAAGTTAAGAATGAAACTTTGTAAATTCTTACAATTATTGGTTGGGTTCGGTCAATCACTTAGGCTGGGACTTGACTAACTATAGAGAATAAGTATTGCTGTGTTGAAAAATTTCGAATCTCTTCCTAGTATCTGTTTTGCGAGAATTCACATTCGGTCCAACTTGGCTGATAAAAGTAACTTTCGCTGGTCACCTAATATTTTGGCGTCGACCAAAGCGAGACAACTGTGCAAAATATCCCATCACCTTACCTTTCTACCAAAAAGCGCTGCGTTGTCATCTAATGTAGGGATAGCACTTGTTTCACATCTCCTTAGAACAAGGCGTTATCGGTCGTGAGTCACGAAATGAACGGCGGTGTAAGTCTCAACAAACAGTGTGAGCAAATATTTCTTACTCAGCATTATGTCACTCTTGGTTTTCAAAACACCTCGGGGAGAGTCAGCGACGACTGCTATATACACATTGCGAATGATGCGAAATGCATTAGTCGGCAGTTTGAAAAATTCGAGCAAATCCAAAAATCGCCAAACTGCGACCGTTTTCTGTTTTCTGAGCAAACTTCTGCATATCCTTAGGGCAAAAACTGCGAGGAGATGGTAACGAAATATATTAGCGGTTGATTTCCAGTGTCTTCGTTCATACAGATCAAGTTCGGGTTTATTACGATAACCAATTGGTCCACGGTTCCGGCTGGACCGTGAGTTTGGATTGCTCCTACGGACGTGACATATTATTGAGCTAAAATTTGCACCGACTTATCCAACTCTTCCTTTCTTGTGCTTCACCTTACTCTCGCGGTGTTTCTCCGTTTCTTCCTTGTTCCTGCCCAACATCCGCTTTGCAGTGCTCCGTTATTAATTCTGTCTTCCTTGCTAGTTGATTCGCTGACCGCACGGACTGGACATCACTACGGAGCACGCGCCGCGGGGTAAAACGTTTGCCCGAGTACAATTCGCCGTTGTAGTCGTGCTGTCGCGACAATTCACAATATTACTTCTTCAATCCTGTCTTAAAGTAATACAGGCGTCAGCTCAATCGGGTGTTGCGGACGTCACACATTTGACTCCTACTTTATCGGGTGGCTTCACTGCGCGAAAATATTTTGTTGGAATAGTTGAATGATCGAAGTGGTGGCGCTTTAAATTTGGATGCTCATTAGTAGTGTATCAACAAAGTTTGCAAGACGTCTATGTACCTTACACGCACTTTTGATTCTAAAAGTTACGAACTGCTTGAAATGCACAATGCTTACATCTTAGAAGGACTTGCTGTTCACGATCATTTGCATGACGATTTACATATGATACAATCGAATTCTTGGCAGTCACTTGCAAACGTTATAACCCGGACTGTCATTTTTTATGTGACGAGCGTGTATTATTTTCTACTGGCTTGACATGCATTAGCTGTAGCTCAGCCGGGAATGTCGTCGTAGTTTAAGGCTGAGCTTCTACACAAATCAGTGCTGTTTGCAAAAGTTTGCTCCGCTTCAAGTGACATCTTCGCAACATTCAAAGGTCCTGATAGCCTGTCAAGTCTCTACACTCGTGTTTGTGTTTTACTTCCAGGTACGAACTCCGAAGAAAGTCGCTCGAAAGATGCAGAGATTACATACAGATCAATCTACAAGCATATTATAATATAAATTGATTGAAGGAGCTGTGTCGGTTACCTCCTTGTTCTTTTTTTTCTAAAGGGGAGTTTGATTGAAAGGACTTGGGAACGTGACTGTCAGCTGGTAAGTGAGAACACAGCAACCTATCCATTTAAGAGCAATCGTTCAGAACTAGTGAAAGTTGTGAAAGGGGACACCTGAACCTCGTTTTTTTCCTTTATCTTTTCGCAGCCCTGCATGTTTGGAACTTGTCTTTGGTCCTTCATGGCTGCCTCAAGGAGCATTCTTTTGTATATTTTTCCTACATTTTCCTTGTTTTGTTGTTTCCATGAAAAAAAAAACAAAGTGTTTCTGGAGGATCTGAGGATTTTTCCTGAAAACGAACGGTTTTCTGTCTCAAAGTAAGCGAAATCTTAGTTTGATACCCCTTACAGACAAGCACTACTTACTCTACCTGTGCTTCTAAGCAAATCGTGAAGGTAAACGTAGTGAGAAACACGGGCAGCCTTTTTGTCATGTGACTGAGGACTCAATTGACCTTTGAGGCCCGTATGCACGTACGTCCCCGCTGGGGAGGGGAGGGGAGCTGGATCTCCAGGGGAACGATCCCCTCCGCCGAACCCCGCCATGACAGAGGGGAGGGGAGCGATCCCTCCCCTGCACCTAAGCGGGGATGGTGTGAATGGTTTGAGAGGTATTGATCGAGCGGACCCCAGTGCATCCGGGGTTCGAATGGGGGAGGGGATCCCTTAACCTCCCCCACTCAAACCCCGTATGCGCGAATTTAACACAACAACGCGGGGGAGGGGATCGACATCCCCTACAACGGAGTAGGGGTTCGATGGTGTAGGTCAAGCCAGAGAAGCGAGTACTCTGATTTGAATCAATTATTACAAAGCATTTCGCTCAAATTGTTAGAAGATTTTCCATGGTAGTCGGGTTCCTCTCTCAGCGACCTGTAGCTTGCAGCTTTGTCTCTCTCTTTTCTATATTCGCTTTTCGTAAAAATCCGGGCATGTATGCCAGTTTCGAATATCTGTAAAAGTTTGTGACCATTCATGAGAGTTGCGCAGTTTCTATTTGTTATGATACTTTTAT